AATATTGCTTTATTAGACCTCTTTTACGCCCTGTAGTCGAACCAACCTTAGTAACAACCATAAAAGAATCTTGAAATGAAAAATTTTGAAAGGCCATATTGTTTTTAATATTCTTCGGAAGTTTTGTCATGCTTACGGTTTTTTCCAAATTTTCCACGCAAACTGAAATACCACAAGTATTTGGATAATTTGTGCGACACCTGGCTGTTTTATCTCAAAAACTAAAATTATCTTCCCGTAAATATCGCTTTGCTTATAATTACCGCTTCTGATCGTAAATATTAAAAAAAAACGAAAAAAAGATAGTATTGATTATGCTTGAATTAGCATAACAACAAAGCATAATAAATTATGACCAACTTCGGTTTTAAAATCATCGGATTTTTCATTTTTGTTAAACTTAAACTGAATTTTTTGCAGAACTGCAGCATTCTCAAAATTTTGGCCGCTTATTATAAAGCAGGTCGCGCTCAATCTTTGTGTGATTGATCAATTCTAAAATTTATAAACTTTTTTATTAGTCTTATTGTCTAATTTCGGATCAGATGAGTTTGGGTTTGTAATTCCAATTTCCTTCGGCCTGTTTGTGAATTTAAAAAAAAAAACGTTTTTCTTTTTCAGTTTTGACAGTTGCAAGATAATTGTATGCCAAGAGACACGCATAATTGTTTAGTTTTGCATCGTTTTTGTTTCTGTAATTTATTGTACTGATGATATGAAGATGTATTTTTTATTGTTGAAAATGATCGAAAATAATCAAATGGTCTTGAATGAACTTATAGTTAAATAGTGAACGACATAATTAAGTAAATTAATCAAAGTAGTTGGAACCTCTAGTAGTTGATTTTTTGTTTGCTATTCTGACTTATTTGCTACCTATTTGAAAGAATGAAATAAATTCATCCAAAAAAGCCACCACTGACACCATAGCTAAGTTGTTAAAGCAAGTTACTCTTGACCATGAGGTTTGAGTTCATACCCAATAGCCTGATAATTTTAATAGTCTTTTTATACCGTCAAAAATAATTTGTTTGCTCCGAAAATCGAGCTGTTTCCGAACTGTTTTTGTGGCTTTTCTCACCACTCTATTTTTACATTTTCAGGCCTTGATATTTCAAAAGGAAAACCTGAGGTCAGCTCAATATCAATTTTATGGCGATATGGCTTTCAATTTGTGTACAAAAGCATAGGCTGGCGTTATATAACTTCAATTTTTTCAAAAGAAGACGCACGTTTTTGTCGTTCAAATTCTGTTTTCAGTTTTATTGCAGTACATGTTTATAAGCCAAAACCAATGAGTGAGCGGTTCTGAAGATTTAAAAACAACACAATTCGATAGCTCCCACGTTGGAAGATAGTGAGAAATATTTGGGTTCGGTGCAATTTTGCTCCACACAACTTTTGGCTTTATAAACTAATTTTTTGACAGAATTTTTATCCAGTCTCAAAGAGACGTCAACCAATCCAGAATTCTTTCGTAAGGAAAAAAAATCGAAAAAATCGAAAAAGTACCTCATCATATTTCATGCTCTTTGTGCGCTTTTAGGTTTTCTCATCTTCCAGTTTCCTTGAACATGTATACAAATTTGAAAAAATCTGTAAAAATTGAATTAGTGTACTTTCGTTTGTGTGCTCAAACATTTCGGCTTAATTGCCACATCATGGGTATGACTTGTGATGTACGCAACTGTCATTGTAGTTGCAAGTGCAAGTGTTGTTTATTGCACTTTCATAGGGGAAGTTAGAACTTTGATTTTTTAAGAAAATTTTCCGGAATTGATTTCTAAAATTTCATAAAAGCATCTTTTTTCGTCTCAACTGGTGTCTGCAGAATGATTTTCGGTTTAGATGCCACATCACAGACTTTGTTTGTGCTGTAAGCAACTTTCACTGTTGTTGTAAGTGGAATTGTTGTTCATTATACTTTCACGGGGACTGTAACTTTTTTAAAAAGTTTGAAATTATTTTTTTTTCGTCTCAGCTGGTGTCTGCTTCAAAATTTTCGGTTTTTTGCTTCTTCTTCAGTTATGTTTCGTTGCTAGTTTTATAATCAAACGTATGGTTTGTTTGGCAAGAGTTAATAAACCGCAACATGGAAAAATTCCAATTTTGGTAGACTTTAAAAAAAAAAAATTTTCATTTTTTTGACTTGTTTTGTTTTTATATTTGTGTTTTATCGCAAATGGTGCAAAAATTCGGTTCGCATCTTTGAACACAAAAAGTGCAGATGGCGCGGGAAAAATAAAATTATATCTCTCCTTCTGGTCTACATCATCAAACGGCAAAAATAATCACCCAAAGTTTGAAATAAAAAACGTGAAGTCATTCACTTTTTCCTTTTTCTTTATAGAGCCAATAAATTTCACACTTATTGTTTTTTACTGAAAGTTTTAAGCAGGCGCTGAAATATTTCACTCTCAAGACGAAGCATGTTAAACAGTGTTCAAAGCGATACTGAGCTCATTTGGTAAGAGGCCAACCGAAAAAGGTAGAAGTTGTGATACTTTCTTGATGACACTCAGCTGCTGTTCGCTAATATTTTAGACCCGTCTCTGCGCGATAATACGATAAAAAGGAAAGTGGAAAAGATACCACTGAGACATTCATTAGACACCTAGTGTGAAGCTTAGCTTGCCTGAATTAGTTTATTAAAAAAGTAGTATCAATAGCTGCGTACTTGAATGCTTAACATTAACGGAAGTTTTTCAAACATAGTTTTAAAATTGTTGTACATCGACTACTGTATTATCAAAAATTTATCGCTTAGATACAACGCAGGTCCCAGAAAAAATGATTGATCTATTCTAAAAACAAGGAATCAAAATTTTTTGTTATTACTTGTTTTGTGCTTATGATCAAACGGTTAAAAGTTTAGTGCCAATAGCGTTCAAAGTTTTCCATGATACAGACTGATTAACTGACTGAGCAAGTAAAGGAAAGATATGATCTAATTGTTAACAAGACTGCTCGTATCAGGGCGAAGCCCTGAATGTTCCGACTGCCTTTTAAGGTTTATGGAGCAATAATAATATAAAAAAAATTGAATGTAATAAAACAAAATGATTTTTTTTCTGAAATTTGAAGTTTTTCTAAAAACCATCACCCCCACACGCCATATAAAGTACAAAAGAATAAATTTAGCTGCTAATAACAATCAATTATGGCAAATAAGCTTATTTCAATCAATTTAGAACGATTTCTAGAACGGTTTAAATCTCCGCTTACGCGTTAAAAGCGCAAAATATATCGCGCGTTAATTGTCTCAAATTGGCCAAAATGCCAATGTTTAAGACCCCATAACTTTACGAAAAATGATCACAGGTGAAATATCTGTTCGAATTTAAGCTCAAGACAACAATACTATTCGAGCGATTAAAAAAATTTCGTCAAAAGTGGCTAGTTAAAAAGTCTGAAATTTGTCTGAAGAAAAAAAACCCACCCGAGCACAAATATTCTGTTAATTTCGTATCGAAAGTCGGAACAATAATTTGCTATTTTAATTTAATCTGAAATAACAGTAAAAGTGTATCAATAGCCGCCCGTTTGGATGCTAAACTTTAACGAAAGTGTTTCAAATGATTTTAAAAAATCTGAGTAAAACACTCAAAGGGATTTTAAAAAGTATCAATTTTTAAGTCCCTTGTGATTCAGATTTCGAAAAAAACGTGGTACGAAAAATGTCCGAAACTTTCTAATTTACAGAATGAGTCAGTGGCAAGTTAAGGGAAGATATTACTTTTTGTTTAATTTTTTTTACTCCGTAAGCAGCCAAAACAGAAAAAGACTAAGAAACTTGTTTCCTTTTCGTGAGATAATCACTGTTATAATATGTGCTTCTTGCTTCTGAACCACCTGCTCTTGCTTTCATTTTACGAGAAAAAAAGACATGCTTTGTAAAGTTTTTTTTTCTTAAACTCAACCCTGCCCATGCTATAGGTGAACTACATAGTGATATATTATCACATTCTATCGTATAGCATAGAATTTTTTTGTCATTTTAGCCCCTTACTCGTTAGGTAAAGTACAAAAGGTGGTATTATCCTATTTAAAAGACCAAATGAGTTGCCTCAATTCAGTTTTGAAAGACTCAATCTGTCAATTACTCGCAGTATACTTGTAAACTCTAATATTTTTTATAAATAATGACCACAATTTTTTTCTTTAACAATTGAGCTACCGAAATTAACATATTTCAGAAGCTATGAGTCATATTTGTCAAAAACTGTCAAAAAAAACGTATTCAAAAAGGTGAAAATTTATTATAATTAAAGAACCATTCTAAGGATAAACTCTTTGAATTTTCTTTGAAAGTTCTAACAAAAAATGACTGCATAAAATTTTTGTATACAATTTCAAATCTGCAGAGAAAACAGACGTATCGATTCAGTTTGATTGAGGCCGTTTTAAAAACAAATAGTTTGTAAGATTTTTATATTCAATATTAAGTTTTTTTGAAACTTGTTTGAAGAAAAGAATTTTGATGGACCTAACCAGAACTCAAAACTTACCTCAATCTTATATACCATTTATTTCAGATTCCATTTACAAAAAACATCTTTTTGTCTAAAAAGAAACAAACGCTTGCTTCTTTACCATAGATCTGGTTTAAAAGTTGAGTTCTTGTACATCATGCTGCAATTAACAGAATAAACAGTGAACATAGCATTTTTTCAAAAATCTGAATAAGAGAATGATTGCTGAAAGCTGTTGGGTGTGACTTCACTTCTGTTGAAAAAAAACAGGGTATTAGTTCAACTTAAATTAATTGGTTTACAACAAAGTTTTTCGGAATTTTATTATTAGAGTAAAATTTTATCTGTCCTGGTAGTAAAAGAATAACTTGAATGCACTTAACTAGAACTCGAACTTCACCGCGATAATGCATATCATTTACATATAATTCATTTAATTACTTCTAGTTTGTTTCTGAAAAGAAACGAACGCTTGTTTTTTGCCAGAGAGATCTAGTTTAAATTGAGTTTTGGCACATCATGCCGCCATCACATGTAACTGGCATCGTCAGAAGCTAAAAATACCATTACTTTCGCTATTTCCTCGGGTTCAGCCATTCGGCCAATGGGGTAAGTTGTTTTCACACTCTCCATTAGCTCGTCAGGTTTCATGCCGACACTTGCAATAAATGGGGTGTTAGTTGCTCCTGGGCTGACTGCATTGACCCTCACACCATTTGGACCTTTAAATAGTTTTAACTTTTCAACATTTTATATTATTAAGATTTTTTCATTTGTAGAAAATGGCTCTGGCGCGCTCAGAAGCGCAATAAGGGTGCCATCTTTTCTTCTCTAAATTCTGATTGCCTGCTGTTTCCAAAAACTTGAGCCATGGTGCGTTTATTGGTTTTCGACCGATTACTGTATTGCCAGTTAGAGCTAAGCTCCTAATAAGATAAGAATACAAGTTTATGTCATACTCTAATAAGTTTGTTTCAGTCAACATCAATCATCTTGGTTTGCGGTTATGTCGATATATTAGATGGTTTAGCCCTATTATAAATTTTGAGTTTTATGGGCTAAGAGGTTCAATTGGTGAGCAATAAAGATTTTGCTTGAGTGATTGAATGCAGTATGAAGCAACAAAACAAATAATTTTGAAATAAGGAAAACTTGCGCAGATGTTTCTCAAAGATCTATTCCTGGTCCATTGCTTTCCAGTTTTTTTGTTCCGACTTTCGATACGAAAGTAACGAGATATTTGTGCTCGGGGTGGGTTTTTTTTCTTCAGACAAATTTCGACTTTTTAACTAGCCATTTTTGACGGACTTTTTTATATCATTCAAAAGGTATTGTTGTCCTGAGCTTAAATTTGAAAAGATATTTCACCTGTGATCAATTTGTGTAAAGTTATGAAGGTTTAAAGATTGCCATTTTGGCCATTTTGGGACAATTAACGCGCGATATAATTCGCGCTATCAACGCGTAGGCAGAGAGTTATTCCGTCTTAGAAATCGTTCCAAATTGGTTAAAAGAAGCTTATTTGCCATAATTGGTTTGTTGCAAGGATCGAAATCTATTCTTTTGTAATTTATATGGCGTGTGGGGGGATGATTTTCATAAAAAATTTCAAACTTTAGAAAAAAAATTTCGTTTTATTTTATTTCATTTAATTTTTTTATGTTAATACTGCTGCTTCATAAACCGTAAAAACAGTCGGAACATTCAGGGCTTCGCCCTGATACGAGCAGTCTTGTTAAAATAAGTTATCGAAACAAAACATTTTTATAGATGGGACTTGTTTTTGGAAGGAAAACTTGCAAGGCGATTAAGCCATTGCTTTGAAGGGATCAGCGGAATATTGGAAACAAATTAAGCTGATATTAGACGCAGATAAATTGAAAATCCTAATTTACAGCAAATATAACGGAAAAAATACCGGAAAATTAGTTTAAATCTCGAAAAAACTGTTTGTGGTTTCTGATATAGCTTAACTTTGTAACAATTTTCAAAATTTTTGTTAGTACGATATGCTGTTTAATTTACAACAAAAAACACCACGTTTTTGAGTCAAGCGCAGATTGAGATTCATCATATGAGCATGTAAATACCAAAAAATCCGAAGCTGCATTTTCACTAGCTCAAACGAATAGAGCTCCTTAGCAAAAAACAGCTTTTTTTCGATCTTAAGCTTCAGATGTTTTGGTATTTACATGCTCATAAGAGGAATCTGAATCAGCGCTTCACTCAAAAATATGGTGTTTTTTCTTAGCAAAAATGTATAATTTTTTCAGATGCGAAAGCCTTTTCAAAATTTGAAGACCTTTGACGGATAACCAATTGGAAACGCTAAAAAGTTACTCAGTACCCACAGCAAAAAGATTCCCATCATGTTTACCCAAGATATCATTTGAATCAGTTGTTGTTAGGCTATAAAAATGTTAACTTTTTGCTAAAATGTTTTTTAATTATCTTTTTTCCGATCCTAAATTTGCCAAGAAAATTGAACAATTTTCCTCACAGTAAAATAACACATTCAATTATAGTTTGCTGGACTGCTATTTCTGGATAACAGAGAGCTGTCAAGAAATTTTTTCATTTAAACAAATGAGATCCAAAGCCTTTTTTTCGGTTCTTTTTTTTCACCGAAGATCACTTCGAAATCATATTTAATTATTCAAATAATTTTCAATTCAAATATCGAGAAATTTATTTTCCCCCCAGTTGCATAAATGTTGAGCCTGAATTTCCGTTCTGAGATACCTGCGAATTGCTGACCTGTATGGTGCTATTCCAAGCTGTAAAAATGTTAGCAAGTTTTTAATTCTTCTTTGTTCATCTACTTTCAATAGATTTGTCCGAAATTTTTTTTGTTAATTTAAAATTTCGAGGTGCCTTTTGTGACAATCGGTACTTGTTTTGATGTCTAACACGGATCAAAAAAGCAGGTTTTGCTTACATTTAAAAAATCACCCAAAACCGCGTTTCTCCAAAGTTGTTTTGTGACACTGGTCCATACCATATGCGCAATGGCCTCAATGAACTATGAGTTTTCCTCACTTTTTGCCATTAGTTATAAACAACTTGAATGAGATCACTGCCTGTTTTTACAGTTAGTTAACTCATTTTCTTTTGAGCGAGTTTTTTGATGAAAATATTCGGAGTTGCTTTTGTCATGCAGTACAAGCTCATTATAGCTTATTTTGACGGCCTCGATCCAGGCTGTATTCATCAGCTTACCCTTGACCCTCATGAAACAGTTTAGGTAAAACTTTTCCATTTTTTGAATCAATTTTTTTTATTAACGCCGGCTTTTAAAAAAAGGTTGACAATAATGAAAAAACAAAGTTTGCGTGATAAGGTAGTCTAAGAATAATTAATTCAGTAGTTTATCAAACTGTCGATATATGTCATTGATAGGTACTCTTCAGAAAAAAAAGTAATTTAGAATGTCATAATAACATGTTTTAAACAATTTGACTAAAATTTGACAATCAGTTTGGTTTGCGGTTATGTCGAAAAACAATCGACTCAGTCGTTTCACATTCCCGGTTATAAGAAACAATTTTCATGGTTACTTAATTTTAGCCCAATTCACATTGATACGTTTGGAAAAAGCATTCGATATAGCATATCTTTTATACTGTTGAAAAACTCGAATCGTTTTAGAACTCAGTATAAAACTTTGAGACTGCTTTTCTTAAATTTAATTAATGATAACCACAAAAAATCTAAACTTTTTGCAGACGAATTGGGAGACAGGTTTATCGACGAAAAAATTGCACGCTGGCAGCACAATTTTCTGAACAACATCAGGGAAATGTTGAAACCCAACAACCTTATAATTAAATGAACTAAAACAAAAGCCCTAAATTTCAACAAATACAACCGGAAAAAATAAATCTTTACAAAGTTAATTCAAATATTGAGCCTAGTGATTTGAATAAATTTTTCCGTTTTAGATTTGACATACATGATCAGCTAAGTTTTGTTAGGCTAGTTGATGTTCTCAGTAAAAAAAATCAATTTGGCGATTATTTTACGGAGTCTTTTTTATAGGTTAAACACCGTCCAAGAACTATCATAAAATTTGCATAAATCAGTTTAAATCAGTTTTATCTGAAAGCACAACAACACCAATCAAGGAAAAAACAAAGGTTGAAATTTAAGTTCCTTGTTTTTGCTAAGGAGCTCCATTTGTAAGAACTAGGAAAAACGGTGTCTTAACTTATTAGATGAGAAATCAATGTTCAATTGTATCAAAAAAATTTAGCATAAATTTCCGCACGGAGACACCTGAGAATAGAAAATTGTACGTAATATGGTGATCTCACAAGCAGTAAAATTGTCAGTATAGTTTGCAAATTTTCTTTTCATTTTATCTCTCACCATACAATTTTCTGGAAAAAAAATTATTAATTCTAATTTATCAAGTTTTCAGGTGCTTTTTGTGACAATTTGTGGTTTTTTTAGACAGAGCACGCGTAATAAATTGCATTGTTTGATCAGTACGATTAAAAAGTAACCAAAAGCGGCGTGTCTTTTAAATGTTGCCTGTGATGCCGGAAAAAATCAGACGCAATCTACTGGTCTGAATATAGAATTTCAGCTAAATGTTTTACCACCAGTAATAGAGATTTACAAGTCATTTTATAAATCCACTCACCTTCTTCTTGAGCGAGTATTTTGGTGAACATATTCAGAGTTGCTTTCGACATGCAGTAGAAACCCAGCTCTGGCATACTTTTATGGGCCGCGATCGAGGATGTAGTTACAATGTTACCCTTGACCTTCCTGGATCAATTCAAATTCAAAAGTTTGATTTTATGATTTTTTTCCTGCTGTAATGTAAATTGTTGATCATCAAATCTCAAAAAAAGTCCAAATTTGCCATTGATTTATTGCTCCGAAAAATGACGCATTGCATATGGTTTTTTTGTCATAAATTAAGGGCTTTGAAAAAAAAGACTATATAGTATGGCTTGTATTTAAAAGTAATCAAAACCTTTCCTGGAAAAGAGGAAAAGTCAGTTATACGAATTTCAATTTGAAATTGATCAGTTGTCCTCAAATTAGATAGACATAATTTTGTCAAATGGACAATTGCAGTGACGTTGACATCGAAAATTTCCTGGTATTCGTCCATAGTTATGTCCAAAATTTTGCCCACAGTCCCCACACCCGCATTGTTGATGAGAATGTCGACGCGCCCAAACTTCTGGATAGTTTCCTTGAATATTTTTTCCCGCAGTTCTGGTTTGGTTATATCTCCTGAAAATAAGCAATAACAACTTTTTAAATTTAGTTGAAGTTTTTCCTACAGCTTCGGATCTAATAACTACAGGACTTATTTTTCAAGAACAAAAAACTCCCATGATTTGCTCAATTTTTTCGTCCTCGAACGTATGCATGCGGTGGAAAAAAATTCAAATAAAATAATGGAATTAAAACGTTTCAAATTTCAAAATTGGATAACAAGTTTATCAACTGGAAGGTGTCTCTTATGGTTTTGGCTAAAAATTTGGATTTTGATCTTGAGAACCAACGCACAAAAAATTGAATCACATCACCTTTTATAATGACGAAATCTACCTTGTCGTTTACAGACAAGCACAATTTTTGTGTCTGATCCAAATCAAATTTGGAAGTCAGGCAAAATTTTTTCACGCCTCCCTGGGTAAAAATTTTTGCCGCCTGTTGCCCAATGCCAGAACTGGCTCCAGTTATTATCACAACTATTTCACTGTGAAATGAAGCTGGCATTTTGACAGATTTTTCTTCGATATCAGATGAACAGAGAAAGATAAATTTGATAAAATTTTCAGAGTTTAACTTTCACTTCTTTCTGTGTTGGAGTTAGATTTTGAGTAATTCAATCGAAGTGAACAGTGCTTCGCTTATCTCTAGATAACAAATAACTAAGTATCAAGAGTTGAGATAAAAGCTGATAGTTTCTGGAAACTCAAATAAAACCAAAACAGGGTTAAAGTGGTCGGGTTGTCGTATGGCAAAACACGAACGTTTCTATTATTAGAGACAGCAAAAATAATTATTTCTGTTTATGAATATCGATCGAACTTCTGCAAAATTTTGATTCAGTTTAAATGAGTTCAAAGTTTCATTTTTAAACTTTTTGGCGCATGAGCAGGTTTTGACTGAAATTATGGCAATTAACCCGGGATTTTATTAATCAAAATTAACTATTCTATGGCTATCTTACAAGCGGTCACCCTTTAAGTTGCATTGTACGTGTGATTTGAATCCGCAATCACTACTGCGCTAGAAAAAGTTGAAACACATTATGTTTTTCTTTATTTTTTACAATAAATATACTTAGCGCGGAAAAAAAATAGTGATTCTTTTTGAGTTTTTTTTTTGATTTTTATGAAAACACAAAACTATCTACAATTAATAATGGTTTTTTTTTGGCAAACTTCCCTTTCTTCATTTTTTAAAAAATCTGTAATTTGGTGAATTAAAAAAAATTTTGATATAAAAAATGTTACTAATCTGAAAAAAAAGTTAGCCGTAAGGAGGCTCCTTTTTAAAACATACATTAGAGTGGACTTTCATGGCCAGTCTCTATAAGTCACAAAAATAATCGATTATAATAAATCAAAATGGAATATTAAATTACTATTTTACAGAGCAAAAAATCATCTATGATCAGTTTTTTTAAATAGTTTTTTTTCTAGTTCAACCATAATAGTAATTTTAAAGAGATTTTAAACCATCAATTTTTAACAAAGCTCCGCATTTTACTCTGTTTGTTTTAAGAATTTATTGTGCACGTATCATATCGTCTCATTTTTATTTATAGTATTTTGTTTTTTTTTCCAATTTTTTAAGCATTTTTTCAAAACTAAAACTTCGAAATAGTGCGACATCAAAATTTCTGAAAACGCTGGTTGTTGGCTTTTAGGTCAAAAAAGATTTTTGCCGAAAATTTTTAATTATTTAAAAATTGATAGTAAATTTACATAAAATCTTTGTCTGATATTTGGTCTAGAGTAAGTAATTACTTATGCAAACGTTGCATTGGTACATAATCTATAATTCACTTGGAATTATGGGACCGCGTTTATTTTATACTGCCGTTCAAACTCGATTTTACTTTAATTTAAATGGTCTGAAGTGGTAGTTAGTATGGTAAATGCTTTTCACTAACAACGAAGACTTTGTAAAAAACTGAACTTGAATTTTAGTATACTGAGGGGTCACTGTTTTTTGAAAAAACTGACTTGAATTAATCAATATTACGCGACAAACAAAATTTTGCTGAAAAGATTCAGGTTCTATAAGTTTGTATTTGCTACTTTGTTTAGATGAGATTGTTGAAAGGAGTCATCATGTCTGCACAAAAACTACTCCATGGCCGATTCAAAGCGTGACTGTTTGAAAAAAAAAGCTGAAGAACTACTCAATCAAAACAAAGACGTGTGAAGTTGAGTAAAAATGAGCAAAAATTTATATCTCTCACCTTTTGACAGCCAAAGATTGTTTTTGACGTAGTATCTCAATCCTGTTCGCGCATCACTTGATTGTTGAGAAGAGTTTTTGTGCAGACATAACTGATTTTATTATAGATAAATCAGTTTTGGAAGCAAGCGCTCAGTTTGCTAATATCTTTCGTTTAAGTTAACATCGTCAGCCTTCCAATTCGCGGTTGAGTTTTTTTTTCACGAAAAGTACAGCCGCGCTGAGCTATTTGCATGTACTCCCGATTGTGTTTCGATGACAACGTGCTTGTCTGAAAAAGCGTTAACTAGTCTTAGATCAAAATGAAAACTTCGCGGGAGGCAAGACTTTACAAAAAGCGATCGGAAAGAATTACAGAACTCACACTGCAGGTTTCGGAAAAGGCTTGAACCCTTATGCAGTTTTGATTTTGCGGTACGTTCTTTTGCGGTAGGAGCCCCTTGCTCTGCTAAGGGCTGATTACTCAACTGCTATCAGCTTAACGATTATTCGTAAGAAGCAATTTTTTTTTCAAATCCTATCCAACTTTTTCATCTTAACATCATACTCGCCCGCATTTAAGAAAAGTGAAAACAAATCGATTTTAATGGATTTTCGTGGTCTATAATGTTGTAAATATAATTGATTCCCATGTTACGTTTAGACAACAAAATTTGACTAAAAATGGAATTAAATGCAAAATTTAGGTGCAAAATTTTGCAAGAATTTCAGCATTCATCAAGTGAGTTATGCGGAAACTGCCTAATCCATTTCACCTAAACCTAAACTCAAATTGCAAAAAGATTCCGTGGATTACATTGGAATAAGTTTGACACCAGTTTTTGGAGTTTTTACTCGCAAACAAATTGAAAATTTAATAGAAATATCATTATAGGGGCCACAGCTGCCCATTTGCTTGGCTTGTAAATTGCTCTCTCATCGAGTGCTCGAGTGTGAAAAGTGTTGTAGCAAGTATCGAGACGAAATTGAAAAAGAAGAGAACCACTAAAAGAGATAGGAAGTTAAAAATGAGGTTGTAGAAAATGAAACAAACCGAATTTGATTACGAAGTACTCCTTCACTAAATACCCATCAAGTAATTAAAAAGAATTCAAATAAGTTTTGAAGAATTAAAAAAAAATGTTTTCTCATAAATTTACTTGGTAGAAATATAGGCAGACTCAGATAAACTGCTGCAAGTATTGTTAATATATCGCAGTTGAGGTATCAAGGATCTTCGATCTAATGGGTTTACACAATGATGAGGGATGGTATTCCTATGAGCAGTGTGTTATTAGTGCTTTTTGTTATTACTTGACTTGTGTTCTTGCACATCTAATTTCTGACATTGTTTGATCTGATACCCGTGAACTTTCAATCCAGAGTTAGTATCAACGTTCAATCTTTTATTAAACAAGCATCACAAGTTTTCAAGATTCACTTGCCCGGGGAAGCTCGAATGGGCAAAGATGGTCACTATATTGAAAAAGTTTTACTGGAAAACTTGGGCGTTTCAGATTTCATTCAAAGAGAACCGGCACTTGTTCTTACACTTTTTAACGAGCAGGATCAGCTTCCGCTTGTTCCGAATATTTTACCCGCAGGTTGTGGAAAAAATTTCAAATTGAATTTGAACTTATCAAGTGAATATCCTAATTTGATTGAAGCGAGGATATTTATGATTAAAAGACTTTGTTCAGATTTTCATTTTTTCGAAGACAAAAAAGAATTTACGTATTTTGATACTGAAAATGAAAATGGCAATGAATTAAGGTACCTTAAATTTACATGAATTTTCATCTCATTTGTATTGACTGATAAATTTTGAATATTATACTCAGAGACTATTCATGCGTTACAATGAAATAAAGTTGGCATTGTCCTTCAAAAATTGTCTTTCAAAAAGTTTCTTTTTTAATCATTGCGGGTAAAGCCTAGAGAACGATTGAAGACAACTATTATATTTAAGGTTTCGGAAATTTCAAAAAAATCAACACCCGCAAAAAAACTACTAGATCCGAAAAGGTAAAAAAAGTTTTATGCTTAGTGCGAAGTGACCATACTTACAACTTGTGTGATTTCGAGTCAGTTTTTGGAAAAGTTTTGCTCTTGGTTGCGGGGATGGAACTCCATTTTCCTTTTGTTTAGTATTCCAGAACACCAAGTAATACTAGCAACTATATTTTAATACTAGCAATAAAAATACTAGCAGTTATATTAGTAGAATTTGAGAAGATCTACTTAGCAGACTCTACCCTTTTAAGTTTTGGTAGATTAAGTCAGTAAAATTATCGACCGATCGGAGTGCAGCAAAAATTAAATTCTCTATTTAAAGCTCTAGTGCTGTTTTATTGTATTTATTTATATGGAGCGAAAATTTTTATTAGATGCAAAAGGGGGTTGTAAGAGAGATTTTCTTGAGATATTGCTGGAAAATGCCAATAAATTGTTTTGTCATTTGATGTGCTATCAAAAAATTTCAATCAACAGAAATGAACCCCTAGTTACCCTATGTTCAATAAGAAGTTAACCTCATAATTTGAATAATTTTTGAGACGTGTTAATCATTGAGTCTAATTTTTCTCAATTGACGAATCAATTTGATTATCTTAGAACTCAGCATTTAATCGATTTAGCATGTTTCAATAATTTCATAATTTTCTAGAAATTTTGAATTTAAATTCGCGCGGTCGAAATCCGGCGAACATTACAGTAAATGACAGGAGCTCCTAGTCGTGCGCGAACTAGTTTCAACGAGAAGAGTCCGCCAGTTTCTCAAATGAAACTGGAATAAATGAAACTTGAACCGCTTTGAAACCGGAAACACTAAACATATTATTACCAAGGAAAAATGACAATACAAAAACAAAAACTGATAAACGGTGCGAAAACTTCAACAAAAAGCCAATTACACAAGAAATCTCAAGGTAAAATTTCGAAAAAAAATCAACGAAAATTCAAAAAGTGGAAACAAAAATGGAAATAGGCAACCGAAATTGAGCAAGGCTGCATTGTCCCGCAGTCAAAAGCGAAAGACGAACAACAATTAATCGTTGAGCAAAAATCAAATAGTGCAAGACTTCCGAATTGAAGCCGACGATGAAGTCAAATTATCAACAAGTCAGAAACATGTTTCACATTGTACAATAAGATCGAACCTCAAAGAAAATGTTCAAGCCCATGAAAGATCCAGAAAATTGTAAGAAGTTCAAAATCATCCCTTATTGTATACCGACTAGAAATATTGCTTTGTAAATCGGCCAGAGAAGGAAACCTGTCAAAATTGTGTATCCGGAGTTGAAGTTTCCGATCTACGGGACCGCGCCAAGAGTTAAGCCGAAGAGAATATCGGAGAGACGGGATGGACTAAGAATGAAGTCGATTCAAAATGACATGTCTAATGACCTTTTTGGCATAATTGGTACCGAATACGGTCTGTGGTCTGAATTTGTTAAATAAATTTTGGCTGAAAATAACTCGACCTAAAGGTGGAATAGAACTCGGATAGAAGATAAGAAGATTACAAATGAATGGTTCAAGAGAATTGCATCGACAATTTTTTTAAAGTATTGAAGGAAATGTTAATCGAGTCACAACGGCCAATTAGAGAAGATTGAGAACTAGACTCGGTTGAAGTATTTGAGAAGTTTGTCAAAAAACCGAACGAAGTCACCTTTTCTTAAGCTTTATTTATGACTGAATAAATTTTAATGTTTTTTCGTTGTTTTGAATATAAAATTGATGATGTGTTGCGTTTTATACTTAAAAAGAACTGATAACTTTCGAAATGATGTGTGAAAATTCAGCTTGAAAACGAGCTCATCACTACCGAGATAAATGCAAGGCGAAAAAAAACTCATAAGCCACCCAAAAAACTTCATTTTTTTAAGTCTTCAAATTTGATTTTATCGGCTCATTTTTTAAATTTAATTTTATTTGCTTAAAAGAAAGCAAAAAACAGCTGGCAATAACAAAAATGCAATTGAAGTGAAAAGAGGTGGCCAATTTTGTTTTTTAAATAGTTTTTGTTACCCAATTTCCCACTGGAAAAAAAGTTACCCTTTTTGAAACCGTTTTTGCTATTTTGAAAAATTTTGTGGTGGAAAAATGGTAAAAGTTAACGCTTATAATTTAAAAATAGTTCAACGGTGTAAATTTGTTTTCTCTGAAATCGTTTTTATCGGGTTTCTTTGAGTTCGTTGGTTTTTTCAACTCTCTGTTTGCGATGTTCACTTATTCAGGTCATATTTCTAAATGCAAAACATAAGTTTGAGCTGAATTTTGCTTGGTGATGGTATCGTTTTCTATTTCATTAAAAGCGAAATTTTGCGTTATATTTTCAATTAAATGTTTTTATACGAAGTCTCAGATTTTTAATTCCAATATCTTTCGGCAGTTTCGTTGTTGTACGTGCATCTAAATCACAGCTAAAGTACAATAGATTCCAGAGAGTTCTGAGTTACATTAATGTGTCAGCTCTCACTTTGGAAGCAATTAAGGAGTAATTGTGCTTGTTGTGAGTTTTTATCCAGTCTGAAAACTGAAGACATGATTTAATTTACTATTTTTTATTGAATATTATTGAAAATAACGTTTGAAAATACTTCTAGTTTTGGAAAAAAAAGACGTTTTTTTTGCATATTGGCAGTTTTTTCTCCAGTTTTCATTCCAATTGTCAGATATTTGTACGCAACATTAAAAGTTGTTAGTCAATTTTCATTATTTTTTACATAGAGTCTGGAGGAAAGTTTCTTGAAAAACTATCAGTTATTCTGATGCCTGTGCATGAGGGTAAATTCATCTGTTTCAAGTTCCCCTAAATGATATAGATGGTAAGTCACGTTCCTTATTAACAAAAGTAACGACGGCGCGTGAAAAGATGGAACACTGTTTTTTTTCTCAAAAATTAGTAGCTAGGTTTATGACACGCAAGCAGCAGAACGTAGTGTTCGGATATCCAATTTTTTTTCAGTTGAAGTCACCCTTTTTTGTCCAGTGATATGCAATAAGTTATCGGCTTGCTCTTTTAAAATTATGTTCTGTAATGCAAACTAAGTGTTAGTTTTTAGCCGATGTATGAGATAAAAGTAAAAAGGTAAAAAAAAACCAAATGCCGTAGCTAAGTTGTTTGGGAAAATTTGAGATTTTGTGTTCAGAAGTTGATTAGTCATAAAAAAAGGCCGCACTGTTTCAATCATTTAAAGACCTTTGTGTAGTGAAATTAATGAGCCATAAAAAAACGTAAAACTTTGCAGCTCATTTTTATCTATGGGCTTTCATTGAAACTTTTTGCATCATAAATGTTGATTCAATGATTTTTGCTACTTTTCTAGTTTTTCTAGACTTTTTGTTGATATGTTACAATAGGTGGTAATTTTGAGTATATTGCATGTAATTTTGAGAACTATAATGTATAATATAGTAATTTCATTTTCAGTCAAATGTACTACTACTACTAAAAGAGTTTTTGTAAATACATTACTCTGCCAAATGAAATGCTATACAAAATTTCAAACTTACACTTCTTTTGCCCAAGAATTTGGCGTATAAAACAAATTATAAATAATGTGCGAAGAATAACAAAAAGCGATCCAGCTATTAAAATTGAACCTACCACCTATTGTAACATATCACCAACAATCAGTTGTAAGGAATTTTCTGATTAGAATAAAGTTTTCCTAATCATGGCTCAACGAAAATAACTTGAATGGACTTAACTAGAACTCAAATTTTATCGCAAAATTACATATCAGTTACTTATACTTATTTCATTAATTCCCTTATCCATGATGAATTATGAATATAATTTTTTGTGTGAAGAAACAAACGATTGCTTTTTTACCACAGAGGTCTAGTTTAAATTAAGTTTTGGCACATCATGCCCCCATCACAAAGCACACAGCTTCCAGTCATGTAACTGGCATCATCAGAAGCTACAAAAACCAACACTTTGGCTATTTCCTCGGGGTCAGCCATTCGGCCAATTGAGTGGCTGGTTTTCACACTCTCCATCAGGACTTCGGGAGTGATGCCGACACTTGCAATGAAAGGGGTGTTCGTTGCTCCTGGGTTGACTGCATTGACCCTCACACCATTTGGACCTTAAATAAAGCACCTTGTTCCGCTGGTATCATGCAGAAAGTTATCTAATTGCATAAAGTCAATTCCAAGTTGTTGGCCAAATTGATGATTTTGAACTACAGACAGTGCATATTTGGTTGATTAGCTTGTTTTTAAACAGTTTTTACATTTGCCCAGATCAAAGTGAGTAGCGCAGTTCTTGCTATATGAAGATGGTCAAATTTGAAAGTGATACGGCCGACAAATTGTCATTAGATTTATAAACAGATTAATAGAGATAGTCAGTGAGATTCTTCATCACTTCCTTCCGCCTTGTCTCTTTAAATTCTGATTTTCACTATTTCACAAAAATTCATCAAGTGGCCGACAAATATTGAGTTTTCGTTTTCGTGAAGTGTTTCCACCATTTTGCAACCAGTTAGAGGCAATCCTTTTTACGCAACTAGTTCATGCTGATCAAAATTAAAATTTTAAGGCATTTTTTGTGACAAAATGTGCCTTTTTTGAAATTGAGCACGCCCAAAGAATCATAATTTTTGATTGAAGTATCTCAAAAAAACGGCCTTTACTAGAAAAAAAATTGCACTGACAGGCACTACTCGGTCGGAATTTGTTTAGCACTGGCCTCAATAAATATTGAGTTTTCGTGAAATGTTGCCGCCATTTTGCAACCGGTCAGAGACCATCCTTTTTGCCACCAGTCAGAGACAAATTGATTGGAATTACTACCTGTTTTTTCAACCCACTTACCTTCTTCTTGAGCGAGAGCTTTGGTGAACATATTCAGCGTCGCTTTAGACATAGAGTAGAAGCCCAAGTCTGGCATGTTTTTGTCGGCCACGGCAGATGACGTGATCACAATGTTGCCCTTGGTTTTTCTGAATCAATTTGAATTAGTAAGCTCTTTTTTATGAATCATCTTTATAATAAACTCAAAAAATTTCAAGAATAACATTTAGCGTGAGAGAAAAATTATTTTTGAAGTTTTTTTTTTCATTTAATTTTGCACGGAAACTCAAAAAATGTCCACTTTTTTTTCAAATTTATTTCTCCAAAAAGTTTGTTTATCTGGCGTTTTGAATTCGTTTCAAATTGTATCTATCAAAAAAATGAACAAAAAACCGTCAAAAAAAATTATTGCTTTAAATTATAAAAACAGAATTGCCTAAAAAAACAGAACTGTTTGGATTCTTAATTTGAAATTGATCAGTTTTCCTTAAGTAAGGTAGGCACAGTTTCGTCAAATGGACAGTTGCCGTGACGTTGACTTCGAATATTTCGTGGTACTGGTCCATGGTCATGTCTAGTATTTTGCCCACAATCCCTCGACCTGCATTGTTGACAAGAATATCGATGCGCTTAAACTTCTGGATAGTTTCTTTGAATATTTGTTCACGAGTTTCTGGTTTAGTTAAATCTCCTGAAAGTATGCAAAACTTTTAATTTTAAATAAAGTATTTTTTGTGCAGCTTCAGAACCAGTAAATACATCCCTTAGAGTCATAAAAAATATTTCTTTCTCAAATTTATTTTCATTGTCATTTTTTTCCTCAAAAATCTGCATGCTGCGGAAAAAATCTCGACACAATAACGAATTCAAACATTTGGATTGTCAAAACAAGATATTTATTTTAGTCAAATTAAGTTGATCCTCTTCTTGAGGTTTTTCCTACAAACATTTGGTCTTTTGGCCTTGAGAATAATTTCGAAAGTTTGTATCACTTTACCTTTTAAAATGACGAAATTTATGTTGTCATTCACAGACAAGCACAACTGTTCTGTCTCGGTCAAATCAAACTTAGAAGTCAGGCAAAAATTGTTCACGCCTCTCTGGGCAAAAATTTTAGCCGCCTGTTGCCCAATGCCAGAACTGGCTCCTGTTATTATGACAACTAATTCACTGCGAAAAAAAGCTGGCATTTTAAGCGATATTCTTTAAGCTATACAAAAATGAACGTCGAAAAGGTTATTTTCGGTTTTATTTGCTGTGTGTAATTTTAAGTTTACTCTGTTGTAATCGGATTTTAAGCAATTTAATCAAAATGAGCAGCACCTTGCTTATCTTGTATATCCAATATCTAAATACCATGAACTGAGGTAAGACTTGACAGTTTCCAGAAATTGAACTTAAGTTCAAGGTTAAAGTGGTCTGCTTATCTCAAAAATTCAATATACAAATACCAAAAACTGAAATAAAAAATGACAATTTCCAGAGTTTGAGTTAAATTCAATGTTAAAGTGGTCACTTTTGTTTAATAATTTATCTTCATTCAATTGCTTGCGGAACCGGAGTGAGGATTCTAAAATTTTCATTTTTTGATTAGTTACTGTAGTTTGGGCCTAGACCCACATTTTAAATTTCGGTTTCTATGTTCTATATTTTCATTTAAAAAAATTACAGATATTTTTGGATCTTCTTTCTTTCGTTGCATTAACGCAACTGATGAAGTCTGATGTCTTTGTTCATCTAATATTTAATTAAAAGAGATCCTTTTTCATCCATTTTCAGATTATTTATTAATTTGGTTTGAATTTGTAAGATTAGGTTGTGTGAAATACAAGTGTAGTAGAGAGTGTGATGCAGTTACAGCTGGCTTAAGATTTTAAAACTGAGGGCATATTTTGTTCCTGCTTTGGATGATTTTCTTAAAATTTGCTTTTTTGGCCAACTTTGTAAGGTAAACGCTCGATTTTTTTCATTTTCATAACACGTGTCAGCGGCGGATTAAGGTGTTCCCAATTGAGTTGCGGCAAGCCATTTTGTAAAGAAAACTATAAGGGTACGAAACTCAAAAAAGTACTTTTTAAGTTTAAATTAGCGTGTGAGAAATGAATTGATGGATATTGTTCTTCTCGAATATATGATTAAATAATCAAATAAAAAACGCTTCCGTCAGCCTCAAATTGCAATTTTAACATATCATACAAGAGCAGTCTTGTCTAAGTGGAAATTTGTTATGTTTTTTTTTTGTGCTGCGTATACCAACCAAGAAATGTCTTTGTTCAAGTTATTAGACAGTAGAATCTACGGGGGTTGAGAAATTAGACGATAAGCAAATTAGACGGAGGTACTTAAAAGGAATATAGACGATTTTGCAAAACTGCAATTGTGAGAAAATAGACGAAAGTGAGAGAGATTAAAATTTTTTGCAGACAAATTGCGCGAGAATTGTTTGTAGACAACAGTTAAATTTCGATAGCCAAACATTTTACAAGTCGATCATGCATAATTTATTCAATTCAAAATTCTCTTGTAATATTCGGATTTGACATTTTTTGTTCATTTAAACTAATTGTTTCGATAGGTACAGACATTTTACTTTCGTTTTGTATTTTTGAAACTTGACTCTTAACAAGAAATTTTGTTGGCGTTTTCTTTTTCATAGCTTTTTCGTCTAAAATGCCAGATCTGTAAAAAAATAAATGCCGCCTAGTTTCGTTTTTGTAGCATCCGTCTAATTTGCTTATCGTCTAATTTCCTAGGTCCCAGTATCTACCCTACTAATGACCAAAGAAGAGACGACTAAGACTCTGTTTTTTATTTGCCAAGACTTCTCTTCTTCTCCAGATTTGATTCCTTTTACGAGAAAGCGTTAGGAGTTACGCAAACCTGTGCCTAGTAATGATAAATTTTATTTGTTCAAAGTTTCGATGAAAATAACAAAATACTTGTGCTCGGATTGATTTTTCTCTCCAGACGAACTTTAAGTTCTTAACATGCACACAAATTCTTCCGCAAATTTTTTTTGCCATCCGAGAAACTTTTTTTCTTTTTCTCAGTGTTAAAACGTTAAATCATTTTAATTTAAGTTTTGCTCTTGATTTTAAGTATGCCAAATTGAATAATTTTAGGATAATCACTGCGCACTATGCCCCGTGCTATGAACGCGTAAGCGCAGATTTACTCCGTTTTCCAAAGTGAACTGAGGAAGGCAGGCTATCTTCTGTTTTTATTGCTCTTGTTTTATTTCTTTTAAACACTACTTTATAGACTTTAGAACGCAATCAAAATATTCAAGACTTTGTCTTGATACGAGCAGTCTTGTGCCCCAGAGAAATTTTGTTTTCAAAATAATTGGTTTTCAATCAATGTCTTTCAAGTGCCAAAAAACCTTAGTTTTTTGAAAAAGCCCATTTCCTTTTTAAAACAATTTTTTTAAGTATGTAATTTTGCAAGAATCTTATCATATACTCATTTTGCAAAATTGATTTGAAGCATAGAAGCTGAATTAGAGAATCTGGATCTCAAGTTTTGAAATTTCCAAATTGATACAATCAACATAAAATTTCATTGCGTATTCTGCTACACTTCATCAAACTGAAGATTGATAATTAAAGAGAAAAAAATATACCATATAAAAAATGGGCTTTGTTAGATAAAATAGACTAAACGGTTTCATTTGTCTCCTTTGAATATATAAACTCTCCTCTTTGGGCAGCCCATTTTCTTATCAATGATACTTCATCAAAAAAAGAAACAAATTATCGGCTTGATTGTATTATGAAAGTCAAAACTTTTTATACTTTAAGGTTTTTTATACTTTATTACAGCCAAGCTTTGGGTCTATAACTTCCGCTGCTTCTGATTCGAAAACTTAAATTTCTGTTTTCAATTTTCTTCACCATTTAAGGTGCACCATTGATTCTTTGCCTACCAAACATCTATTTCAGACTTTACCTAATTTTTGCTGCATTAAAAGCTGTATTTGTAGTTGAATAGCGTGGCTGAAGTTGATTTTTTTAAGATTTCTGGTTGCAAATTTATTTTGATTATTTTTTTGATTTAGGATTTCATCTGAAGATCAAGGAAGAGCAAATGCTGCTGAATTTTGTTCAAGCATATTTTTTCAAAGATACGTCATCGAAAGTGTAAAAAAACTATTGATATGTTTGTATTATGAAAATCATTACGTTTTTTGTTTCATAATATAATACAGCCTAGCTTTGAAGATTGTTTTTGCTCCTTCTGATTCGAATTGTTTTTAATTTTCACGATTTCTCGCAATGTAATGTGCAATAATGAATTATTGCCCACCGCTCATATATTTTTTGAGATTTTACGATTTTTTATCCGATAAGAACTATTTTTCTGGTTCACCAACAGGACAGGTTTGATGAATAATTTTTGTTGAATTTTGTCTTTCAGTATTACCTGTAGAAATTCAGTTTTCCAGTTTTTTAGATTTTTCGTAAAAACATGACTTTATCAGGCTATAAAAGTTGTGTTTCACTTTTTTCATATTAAGTTCTTGGAAATTTTAATAAATATTAATTGAGTAAAAAATGTTCGTAGCTACTGTAAAAAAAATTTGGCGCTTTGGAAAAAAGAAATAGGGTCGTAGTTTTTGTATTATGAAAATCATGTACATTTTTTGTTTCATAATTTGATACAGCCTAGCTTTGAAGATTTTTTTTTGCTCCTTCTGATTCGAACTTTTTCACAATTTCTTTTCTGAATGTCTCAGTTAAATTTGATCTTGACACAAAAATTTGAAGTAGTTTACAAATTGCAGTGGTTTTTAAAATGTCTGTCGAACAAAAATGCAAAAAATAACCTTTTTCGAATTTGTTTTATTTTAAATCTTTGCAAAAAAAACTCATTTAATTTTTGGCCCTCGTGAACTATTTGCGAAATTAAAGCAAAATCATTTGAATGTTACTTAAATTCAATCGAACTCCAGCAGCGTACATTTTTTTTATAAAACTCAATAAGCCTTAAAATAAAACAAACACCCATGGGCGCACCAACGTGTTGCAAACTTGTCAATGGAGAGTAGCACTCAGTATGAACAAACGTTAGAGCCAAACTTGGAACAAACAAAAAAGATCATAGTGTCAGTTTTCAACAAACTCAGCATGAAATTGTGAACTTTCAAGCCACCTTAAAACATATATTTTTTCCTAAACACTAGTTTTTGCATGCAAAGTTTGTCTGGTAGAATTTTTTGCTCCTTTTAATGGATTCTGACTGTAGCCACTCCTTGCTGCTTAGTATACACCAGCCGGTTGTTTAAGCCAAATGTCTGGCTTGTGCCACACACCAATTTTTCCGTATCAACAAAATTTCTTGCTCTCTTGCGCCAACCGGTTTATTGATTTGCCTCCAAAAAGTCCATTGCCAGTTATCAAAAAAAAATTTTAAAGCTGAAGCAATTATTAAATTGGAGCAATTTTTTGTAGATTCTGTTTGGAAGACGTCTTTAGTTTCTGAAATTTTTCTGACCGTTGACACGGCGTTTGAAAATGTTTAATCGAAACTTCAAAAATGCATTTAAAATGTCAAAATAGCCATGAATGAAAATTCCAATTTTCACAGAAAGTTACGTTTGTATATCTTTGAGCACACAACTTCAAAGCAATTTTCATTCAACATTGATCAATGACTTTATGTTGATAGCGAGTAATCATTCCAAGTTTGAACCTTTTGTCCGATGTTTTTTTTAAATCTATAAGCGAGAATAATTACATTAGTTAAGTAGCAACTTTCATATAAACTTTCCATTTCATGCTGATCAATGAATGCATTTTTTAAAAAAGAACCTGGAAAGTTAATATGGTCAGCAAATACTATTCCGATCCAGTTTAAACTATAGAGTGGGCGCTATAGGCGCGTCGCCTCTCCGCGGCTATAACAAACTCTAAATTTAGAATAGAGTACTACCGTCTCTGGTCAATTTCGCTACAACTTGAGGCGACTACTGCTGCCAGTTTTTTTTTGCTGCTTTTAAAATGTTTTTAAAACAAGACAATAAGTAAAGTAATCTTTTAATAACAGTCCAGAGATTTAGATAATAGGCACGGTGACCGCAGGAAGGTCTAATGATTCAATTAAGCAAGAAAAACGTTAGGACTTCTGCACATGTTTGGGTATCCCCGCAGAGACAAAATTGAGTAAAAATCGGTTATCTACTGAAAAATATACTTAAGTTCCAATAATCGATTATAATGTTTTTTCCTCGATCATATAATCATTCAGAAACGGTTTTTTCTGTATCCAATTGCATGATTTTTTCTGTTCTTATACAGTTCGCATTTGAGCTTTACCTTTTTATCTTTTTTATCTTTTTTTTTTTAATTGGAATCGAACTGAAATGGTAACAAATTCAAATTTTGCCAAAAATTAGGTCTAAGTTAATTGTTTTTTGCTCACTTTGATGGTTGTCCACTTATTTGAATTCAAATTTTTTTCATTTATTGTCATTTTTAATGCAAAAAAGGTTCTCAAATTTGTTTTTCAAAGTTCATCTTTATATTTTGAACTTCAATTTTCTGCCTGAAGATTAAACAAGGTTTTTTGCGTCTCCGTTCAGACATTGTTCGATACTATTCTCAGATTTTGCTTGTTCAGACTTTATTATGGGCTTTGTCCCGCATTGGGCTTAAGAAGCTTATATCTCAAACTGAGCTGGTTGCGACTATGAAAATCATAACCTGGAATCTGGGTTGCTTAGGTTCTGCAAAAAATATTTGTCAATTTGTTATTATCAATGTTATCTCTGACAATTGCCACTCAAATTTTATGATATGCAGTGAAGCAGCTTTTCGTGATGCGTATTTAGGTCGCGCAAATAGACGTAAGTATTTTACCAGATAGAGACAAAAAGTATTCAAGTTTTGATTCGTATGTTTTACTTTACCGTTGAAAATTAGTTTGAGAAACGAAAACATTCACACATCTTTTAGAGTAAATTTAACGTTCAAGTTTAAAATTTTCGCAATTGTTGAAAAAACTTTACTATTTTTTCAACTAATTTTCTACATTAATCATTTCGTGAATTTGATCGAGATAAAAAAACTAACGCAAATTTTGCTTAACTCCATTTTTATAGAAAAAGTGGTAAATCTATGTATTTTTTCTGTTTATCTAAAGTTTCGGTGTTGGCAGAACAATTTCTATCTTTTCTCAAAAGTTACTTGAATTGGATGAAATGAATCTGTCAGATAAGCTTTCATAAAGTATGGGTGGGTTCGAAATTAGGAGCCTTCCTACTTATTCCGCCCAGCAAATTTGCAACCTTTAATATATAATTGCAACAAAACACTGATCGCACTGATTGGTTGAGTTAATACAAATGCGATCATTTAATTCATTAGCAGATTTCCAACAAGGTCGAATTTTGAGCATTTGCGAAAGTATTCGGTTGTTCCTGAAGCTATATTTTCTGTGTTTTTTCTAGTCTGAGTGAAACTCTGCAGCTTGTTTGAAATAAGAGAGAAAATGTTACCAAACAATTTATTTTTTTGGCTAATTCATAAGGCGACTTAAAATTGTGAACAACACATTTTGAGATGGTGCTGAAAATTGGTTGGCTAATTCTAGCCAATAAGATTTAAGCGAAATAGTTCCCGTTCAAGTTGTTGAGGTGTATTTTTTCGGATGGAATAAATGAAAAGACCAGAAGTTAGAATTGGTTTAAGTGGAAGAGAAAAAAACTATTTATAGTTTATAAAACTATTTTTCTCGATTACAAATGACTGTTTATGCGGAAAAATTTAGACCCAAATTTGTGTTTTAAATTGGGTTATAGCACATCAAACCACCATCACAAAGCACACAGCTGCCAGTCATGTAACTGGCATCATCAGAAGCTATAAAAACCAACACTTTGGCTATCTCTTCGGGGTCAGCCATTCGACCGATGGGGTGAGTGGTTTTTGCACTCTGCATCAGCTCTTCTGGTGTGATGCCGACACTTGCAATGAAAGGGGTGTTAGTTGCTCCTGGATTGACTGCATTGACCCTCACACCATTTGGACCTTGAGTGAAATAAAAAAAGAATTTATTTACTTATATTTTATTCAAGTAACTCTTTTCTACTTATACAAGGTCGCCGATAGAAGCAGTTTTGCACAAAGCAAATTTGCCGATTGAATTTTTTTTTGCACAAAATTGGGCGGCGTAATTAATTTCAGTTTTAATCTCAAGGCCTGAGTTTGACAAGGAGTTTTAATGATATAGACGTATTATCACAAAAGTCACCGCAAACAAAAAACGCAGCTCCAGTGTATCGGATATTTGCCATTATGGGGTCTTGGGGTCTTTCCTATCTAACTTTATGTGAAAAGGCTGCGGGGGGGGGGGGGGGGAGGTTGTGGGTTGTAAAAGGAAAGACACAGTATACTCTTAGCTTTAATTGCACCCTCATCAACAACCCCTCCCCCACCATGCGAAAGAGTGTATGGCTTATCGTCTAACCTTCCTCTTGAGCGAGTGCTTTGGTGAACATATTCAGTGCAGCTTTTGACATGGAGTAGAAACCCAGCTGTGGCATGTTTTTGTGGGCCGCGTTCGAAGAGGTAGTCACAATGTTACCCTTCACTTTCCTGCATCAATTTCATTTCAGAATTCCCATTTTTTGGAATATTTTTTTAACTGAGTATCTGATATACTGAACGAGCTAAAAATAAAAAAAATTGCGAGAGGATTTGTAAAAGTTTGAAGTATAATTTCAATTCGAGCCCCAACACAAAGCCGAATTTCGCCCAAGTTTCACGCTGCAAAATTCTCTGCTGTTATCATACAAATGATACAAATGGTACATCCGCCTCTGTATAAAGTTATATGGAGTGCCGGTGATTAGAAAAAACAGATAATTGTTTTTGTAAGTTGTAGTTTGAGAAAAAAAATTTGTGTGGGTTTCCAAAATGAATGAAATTGAACAATTTTCCTTATATAAGGTAGACACAGTTTTGACAAGTGGACAGTTGCGGTGACGTTGACATCGAATATTTCCTGGTACTGTTCCATTGTCATGTCTAATATGTTGCCGACAATCCCCCGGCCTGCATTGTTGACCAGAATGTCGACACGCTCAAATTTCTGGATAGTTTCGTTGAAGATTTGCTCGCGCAATTCTGGTTTGGTTATATCTCCTGAAAATACGATGTAAATTTTCACATTGAAGATTTTTTTGTAAATAAATTTTAGGGCTCAAAACTATTTACCGTCCAGGGGCGATAATAAACTTAGAGTAAAATCAAAATTTGTGATCAGAAATTTTAGGAAAAATAAAGAAAAAAACAGTAACGTTTTAGTTTGGTTTTTTAAATCAAAAATTAGCATTTGGAGAATAAAAACTTTAGTAAAATAATATTCACCTCACTGGTATTACAAAAGAAAAAAATCGTAGAGGTAATTTGGTCGTCTCGTAAATTTATCTACCAAAAAAAACACCCAAGTCAGTATTGTGAAAACTTTTACCTTTTACAATTACGAATTCTACCTTGTCGTTTACAGACAAGCACAGTTTTTTGGTCTCAACCAAATCAAATTTTGAAGTCAGACAGAATTTAGTCACGCCTCTCTGTGTGAAGATTTTGGCCGCCTGTTGCCCAATGCCAGAACTGGCTCCGGTTATAATCACAACTATTTCAGAGTCAAACTTAGCAGTCATTTTGAACCAAGTATCAGAACGATCAAATATGAAGTCTAACAGCAAATGTAACACGTTTGTTCCTATCTGCAATATCTGCAAATTTATACTAGCTTAAGCCAGGCGCTGTGTGCGACTTACTTATATCCAATCCAATAACTAAATACCAAACAGATAAAAGCCGTAAAATCTTAGGCTTTGAACTATAGTTCCGTGACCAAAAATACAATCTCAATTTCATACAGTCAATAAGCAGACATATGTTTACAATGGTTCCCAAGCTTATCACCCCGTGTTTTGTAACCCCCTTTTTCTTAACCCCCTCATATAACCCCGAAATCAGATAACCCCACTACAATTTAACCCCTTTTTAAAACCAATTGTTAGAATCAAAGTGAAAGTTACTTGAAAAGGATTCGGAACCATATCGTCGGTAAACATCAAAGCTTTAATTGCAAAAAATTTTGCGAACCAAAATGAGTTAACATGCACACTGCTAAATGCGTTTTAGATTTGAACAGAAATGACCTTGCCGATAGTCTAGAATTTGATATGAACTTGAAAACAAATCCGACCGACATGATTCAAATTGGTGCATATACAAAACAGTCCCATACAAAAGAGTCCGAAACATCAAAAAAAGAATCTAATAACAGTCCCATACAAAACAGTCCAAAACCATTTGAATTTCTTGACCTTGATCTTTTGGCGCCGACAGAATTGATCTACGCTTTGAAAATTCAAACATGATAGAGTGGTATAACAATAGTTAAAGAAATAGACAGTATGATTTTTAAAAAAACTCACAAACGTCTTTTGTTGCCTTCAATTAGCACCATGTGGGTTATCTCTGTTTTTTGCAAAAAAAAATTGTTTTAATTGAGTTAATAGATTAGTTTGTGGAAACACAGTTGTACGGGTGGGTCAAATTTATAGTAGTTTTTGTTTAGTGACAAATGTTATCAAGTTTGAAAAAAATATTTTGTCTACTAACTGAACTGTCTGTGTACGCTATCTAACTGAATTATAGAGACATTCCGGGTTGAGTTGACAGGAAAAATTATCGCGAAGTGGCTTCATATTGAGAGTTCTAATGCGAAAGTGGCTTTATATTTAGAGATCTAATGCAAACTATACAAAAAATAAACAATTTTAAAGCGAAATATTGTTTTTTCCATATCACTATCGCTTGTGGTGACAAAAAGCCTAAATTTCTAGTTTGGTAAAAGAATGAGTAGTTCAAACCAAATAAATTTGATGATTTCTGCATTTCATTTGATTAGTTCATACATACTAAGTTTAGACGAAATGAATGGGTACCGACTTCAATCCATATATAACCTTCGTAACCTTTCGTGGCAAAACACGGATTCTGACCAACAAAATTTTGTCAATCAGGATCGGCCAAGGTGGTGCTAAAGATTGAACTAAAAAAACTGAGCAGAACATAAAAAACTAACCGGTTTACGAAGCAGTTACTTTTAGGAATGATGATATTTGGCTCATATGTGATTCGTCAATGATATGATCCCGGGTTGACCTCCATAGACCGAAAATGCTAATCATACAATTTCATACACTTAGTCTATGGAAAAATGCTACTCATACAAATTTCATACATTTTTGCAAAATGAGTTTAATCGAATAATTTCAAAAATATTTTATAGTTGTTTTCGTATTCAGACAAACATTTTTTTGAAAAAAAAAAATTGCATGCAAAATTTAATTTTTTTGTGTATATAACGTAGTCCTGGATATACTAATATTGGATTTTTTTCCTTTTCTCTTCATAACTTTTTTCAAAAACGCTTAAAACTCCTCTTTATTTTGTATAACATGTTTTTGTATGCCTTGATTAATGTCTGGTATTTTAAAAATTCAAATTTTAGAAATAATCCTTTATGAAAATTAATGCCGAAATTTAAAAGTTCATTACTTTCGTTATATTATTTGTCTGAGACAGTCGTAACACATCAGGCTGTTTCCAATGCATTGTTAATGCGAGACGGCCAAACCGTTGGTTACTACGTTTGAGTAATCAAGGTTCATGTCATTTGTGTTCGGTTACGAACACAGCCAAAAAATATTGAGAAATTAAAATGTAAAAAATCAGTATTTTTGGTTTATGGAAAAATGCTAGTCATACAATTTCCATATATAAAAAAATACTAATCATAGACCTTTCATGCAATTTGCTGTACGTATGGAATTGTATGGAAAGTGTATGACTAGCATTTTTCCATATATGGAAATTGTATGACTAATATTTTTGGTCATCCCGGGATCTAAGGGATTTTAACCTTTACGTTCTAGGTGAGAACATGCACTAAACAGGCTGGGACGACAGCCTTTGTAAGTTTATGCATTTACACTTGTTGTTCCGACTTATGATACGAAAGTGACGGAATATTTATGCTCGGTTTGGGTTTTTTTTTCTTCAGACAATTTTCGACTTTTTAACTAGCCAATTTTGACGGAATTTTTTTTATATCATTCGAAAAGTATTGTTTTTTTGAGCTCAAATTTGAAAATATATTGGACTCGTGATCCTTTTTCGTAAAGTTACGGAGGTTTAAATATTTTCATTTTGGCCAATTTGGGACAATTAACGCGCGATAAATTTTGCGCTATTATTGCGTAAGCGGAGAGTTAATCCGTATTGAAAATCGTTCTAAATTGGTGAAAGAAGCTTATTTGCCTTAATTGATTTGTTGCAAGGAGCGAAATCTATATTTTTGTACTTTATATGGCGTGTGGGGGGATGATTTTCATAAAAAATTCAAATTTTAGAAAAAAAAGTTTCATTTTGATTTATTTATTTTAAGTTTTTAATGTTATTACTGCTCCTTAAACCTTAAAAAGCTTTTCGAAATATTCATTTTTTAGGCATCCTTTGGCGCCAATATATACTAACTTTGAGGGGGAGCGCGCGCCAAAAAAAAACGCGATTTTTTTGTCAAAATTTTTCAAAAAGTGCCCAAAAACGGCATTTTTGACTGTTTTTTCAAAAATTTGACTGCGGCGCTGAAAATTTAGCCAAAATAGGGGCAAAACAGTGCTTTGGGAGAGCTCGAAAAATCAATTTGGTCGACCTAAAAAAAAGGTCGAAAATCCCCCCCCCCCCCCCCCCCCCCCCTCGAGAAAATCCTAGATCCGCCCCTGCATATGGCAACAATGAAACATCCTGCCCATGGGGTTTTTCACTCAATTTGCTGAGAAAAAGCTTGAAGACATCTGATTTTATTTATCCTGGAAAATTTTGATACTTTGGTTTTGTAATCATGTATTTCCTTCAGTATCTGAAAAAGCACTTGATTAAAGTGAACTGTAAAAACGATATCTAATTCTGTTATTTTGTGAATGTTGGTATTTTATACAAAACAGGAACAACCAAACTAGTTAGTTTGATCAAAACCTTACTAATCTTAAATTATGCGTAGACTCTGTGTGCAAAATTGTTTCAATTTGTTGTTTATGAGATTGATTTATGTTGGTATCCGCAACCACAGGGCCATCCGCTTTGAAATTGTGGGTAAAATTAAATACCAGGTTTCAAATAGAAATTTCCAGTTTGTCAGACACAAATGCCAAATATTAAATAATACTTGGGCAAATAGTAGATTTATGTTTCCATGATGGCTACAAACAGTTTTGAAAAAGCTACAGACGATCGCCCGTATATAGTTCTGCTTGGCGATGCAGGTAGTGGAAAATCTACACTGGTTGAAAAACTTGCAGGGACTGAAAAGCGAAGCTCAAACGCAAGTACTAGTTATACGAAGAGTTCAGAGGCGTTCGAATCTTCAGACGGGTCTCTCGTAATAAGCGACACCCCAGGAGCCAATTCAATAGACGATCGCTTTGAAAGCAATCTTCATATTGCTCATGCCTTTAATTTCAAGCCTATTTCTCGAGTGCTGAACGTCTTCAAAGCTGATACGAGAATTGACAATGTAATTGAAAAAGTATCTGCCTATCTCAGCAGATATCTGCCCGAATACTTCCCGGATGAACTAATTGGTGTTTGCATTACGCACATGGACGTTGTAGATTGGCAAGAATCAGAATTTCTTGAAAAGATGAAAAATAAAATGGGAACTTACCCTGTTGTTTTTTCGTCGAAAAACGATACTGGAACTATATTGTGTAGTAATATATTGGCGCAGGTTGAAAACGCAAAACGATATGAAATACATGTAGAGAGTGATACATTTTTACAGCTATTCCAGATTTCAGACGAAAATGTGAAAGTGTTGCAAGAATCTAGAAGAGAAGTTTCTAAATTTGCAAGTATTCTGGATCAGTTTTATCTTCTACGAAAATCAATGAATTATGACAGTGAAGATGAAATGAATATGATTTTTGAGTTTCAAGCGTGGATGCGCGACGAAATAATTCAAGCACAAAAAAGGTTTTCTGAAAAAAATCATTTTGAGTTCAATCATTTATCTTCCAAGACAGCCATTGAAGCGGGACACCTCGCAAACATGACTACTCAGTTGCTAGTCACGTTAGCCGGACTTAGAACGGAAGCAATGAGCTATCACAGAGACGCTAATAAAGATTTCCGCAAATGCCCTCACTGTTCAGGTTTGTATGCGCATGGCTTGCTTAACTACCCGGGTTGGCCTCCATACGCCAAAAATGCGTACCATATATTGCAATACATCACGTCTATGGAAAAAGTGTGTATGGACTTCATAATCCTAAAATGGACATTGTTAGATAAAAATTTTTTCCATAAACATTTCTTCTGATTATCAAAAAGGTCAAAGATTAGGATTGAACCTAGAAATGGCAGGCAAAGCAGTCAATATTCATGGACTTCGAAACATTTGATAGCAACAAGTTTTGAAAACTTTTTGGAAAAAAAGCTTATCATATTATTCCGATTATAGAAATTGTATGATAGGCATTTTTGATGGCGACAAATATGTTTCCAAGTAATTTTGAGTTTGTATTTCTGCCTCGTTTCGGTTCTGAGGTAGATCGGTTTAGGGTAGCTGGCCGATTGACAACATTTCATTTCATGCGTAAATTAACCGTAATTATCGGAAGTTACAAGTCAACAAAGAATAACGAACTGCCATAAATTTCGGTATTTAAAGGCAGAATTCAAAGTCATAAAATACGCAAAATGAAAACA